TATATATACACATGCACATATACACATTAACACACACACACACACACACACACACACATACACACACACACACAAACACTCACCTTGTAGACGTTATGCTGACTCGTCCGTTGATCAAACCTCTGGTACATCTCATTCAACATGTTCACAATGTCCATGGGAGTACAGGCGGCTGCTATGTTGGTGAAAGTAACGATGTCCGAGAACAGGACGGTCACTTGGTCAAACTTCTCTGTGGTCAGATGGTGATTCATAATAGTAATATTATCAACAATGATGATGAAGATGACAATGGTAATGGTAATGAAAATAATAAAGATTTTAAAAAAATTGGAATTATACCAATCTTGGACGAGACCGCGAGGATCCAGACACAGGGTACTTGATTTGGGAGTTTGAGGCCGCTCCCCCTGAGGCAAGGGGATACAATATTCTGTGTAAATTGTGCCCTCTCGACTGGGGTTCGAGGATCTTGTGTCAGAATTCAGAATCTCCGCAAGCTCAATTGGACTTGAAAGGAATACTCGGGGCAAATGATCAGGAAGTAGAATGCTGCATTTTTAAAGATCACAATCTGTTTGCCAACTTGTTACCTACAACCCGCTTACGAATGCCCCAACATACCTGCCACTATACTGTCTTCCCACTTAGTTCCTCTCTTCACTTGTCTTGGCTCGATTGAATAGGCTAACACTAACAATGTCACCTTAGCAGAGACTGTGCCCACCATCTCGGAACTTCACGGTGACATTAAAGATGGTTCCAATAGGGAACGGGATAGAGGGTGCACACGTCCCTCGTGACTCATGACAGCAGAGGAAGGTAGGACTAACGCTAACTGTAACATGACTGTACAAAAATACTATGTATATATTATGGAAGAATAAATACATGTATGCAGTGATTATAGACAGTGACAGGTAAATATAGAAACATTAAAAATTTCTGAGAATAGAATAGGCCCAGCAACGTTAATTATAGAAAAGTTGGTCTTTTTACGTCAGCATCCGCATTCTTTAGGTTATTTAGGTGGTAAACTTCCGACCTTGCCTGTTAGTACCCTCCATCCCCCCAACTTCAACTTTCTCACCTCAGACCTCTCACCCTCTCCCATCCC